ACGTCTCGTACAAGAAGTGTGTCAGCCGTTCCTCTAAGTTGGACAGACTGTTGCCAAACGAAGACATTTCGTACACAAATCGGACCCAATTGATGACCGTATTGTCGATCCAATTCTTCAGATTACAAATACATGAGACCTCAAAATTGCCTGAATATCAATCATAATAGTCAACGATTATTCCTCCAGTTATAGCCATTAAGTGGTCAAACAATCCATACCTTTACAGCTCTCGTAGATATGTTTGTCAATACATGTGTGCATTACGGATGTGATGGCATCTCCAGAGATCACTTCAATCAATGATAATTCACTCAATTGTTGATTGAATTTAAGAAAGTCTTCGCTAATCGATTGACACAAACAATCGTTGGTCTGTTGACAACAACCGCCGCATTTGGTGTCCATTTCAATCATATCAACGGAACCGTTGAGTTCACACGAATTGTTTGCCCTATTCTTCTGGTACTGATTGACGGCAAACGCCAGCGAATATGCGCTCAGAAGGTATTGATTGAAACAAATGGGAATCTCTGCCAACAGTATTGACCGCAACAGTGACTTCATTTTCATCTGCATTTCGACGTACTGTTGATAATTGCCATTCGTATCAAACACACGACTCAACACCACATTATTGATCCACTTGTTTGCCGACACAAACAGATGATCGGCGGTCGAGAATAGTATGGCATGAGTGGTGCCGGCGGTGGATGTGTTGGCCGTGTCTTCGCTCAACTGCTGGTGATTACGAAATGTGGACCAAAAATGTGGTACAAGTTCTTCGTTGATGAAAGTGTAGTACAAATCATAGTACCATTCAATGAGTACTTCAACAAAAGACTGGTCCCGAAGTACTCGCAAAGCGTCCGTCAGTTTTGATAAATAATCATCGCTTTCCTAACCGATGGACACAAACAGACCGTCACTCGTGAGTGTTTACAAGAGCTGATCCGCGAAAAAAAGCTTACCTCAAAGTGTGTCAATTGTTTGGACAAATAATCCCAACTTTGGTTCAATAGCTGTGTATTACTCATGAGTTCTGATAATTTTGTATATAAACAATTGGATCAATTAAAGTGATAATTCATTTAATTAATTATAAAATCATTAAAAATAATTGAAAATCAAAACAAATATTAAAAACTTTTTTGTATATAATTTTGAAAAACAGATGTTTTTGTGCGAAAAATATTTCATAACAATGACAGTAATAACGTATGGATTGGCATAACATTTGTGTCATACCAGACATCGTTAGGATAGCATACTTTGCGGTACAGCCAAACACTGTCATAACTCCCCTAACATT